CTGGAATCTGCTGTGTAGACCAGGCTGGCCTTGAACTCGCAGAGATCCTCCTGTCTCTGCCTCTCAGGTGCAGGGATTAAAGGCATGAGCTACTATGCCTGGCTTTTTTTTTCTTCTTTAATTTATAGCTGGCATATAGTATCTGTATGTATTTACAGGGTACAGTGTGATCATTTGATAGATGCCTACATTATACTAACCAACTCGTTCCCATTTAAGTGATGGTCTGAGCCTAGAGAGATGGTTCAGCAGTTAAGAACAGTTGATTGCTCTTGCCAAGGACCTGGGCTCAGTCCCCAGTGCCCACTTGGTGGCACACAGCCATTCATAATGCCAGTTCCAGGGGATCAGATGCGCCCTTCTGGCCTCCATACATACCAGGCATGCTTGTGGTACACAGACAGACATACACACGGGCAGAATGCTTGTGCACAGAAAATAAAAATAAAGTTTAAAAGCTGGAAATGATAATCTGATGTTTATCCAACTAGTAAATGAGAGAATTCACTCTAACAAACCTGATCCCAAGGCCAGATGTGTAGTACATGCCTATGACTCCAGCCCTTGGAGTAGAGGGTAGAAGGTCTAGCCTTGACTATGTAGTGATTTGAAGGCCAACCTGGGCGATGTGAGTGAGACCCTGTCTCAAGAAAAGAACAATAACAAAAATCCTAAAATCTTGATGATAAAGCCCAGGGTCTTTAGCCCTTTTGTTCCCCCACCTCACCCCCCAGGCAGGGGGTCTCACTCTGTAGACCAGACTAGGCTCAAAGTCACAGAGATCCACCTGCCTCCACCTCCTGAGCGCTGAATTAAAGGTGTGCACAAGCACGCATAGCTCCCCGCCATCTTCTTAGACTGGAAACACTTTTGCTTTGCCACTCACAGAGTCTCGTCCCACTGTCTGTCCTTGTAAACCTAGACAGGCGGACGAGCTGCAGCAACCTCCGGAGCTTCAGCAGGAGCCAGAACTGGAGCCGTTAGAGCTAAATGCAACCATGGCAACCATGGAGTTAGAACAAGACCTGGAGTTACCGATGCTGCTGGAGACAGGGCTGGAACTAAACCCCACACCGTGTGTGACCCCACTGTCAAGTCTGGAGACAGACCCAAGGCTTGTAGCGCAGCTCTTGCCAGAGTCGGATTTACCTCATGATCTGCAGCAGCTGAACATGGAGGAGATGGAAAGTGAGTGATCCGGCTGGGCTGGGGAAAAGGGGACACCTTGCTCTCTGACCCCTTACCAAAAGGTGAGCTCCAAGTGCTCCCGTGTCCCGCCCCCTCCTTCCATTTCCCAGGAGCCCCTTCAGCCCCAGAGTGTGCCTTTCCTGCTAGAGTCAGGAGCTTCTAACTTGGGTCAGGGCCTGACATTTTTCTCTGTGTGGTCTAGTCTTCAGAAACAGCATAGACATTCGTAATATCATGCCCCACGGGGACCCACTGTTGGCTGGCCAGAACATCGCAGATGAAGCCTACATGTCCTGCCAAAGCCATTTTCATGTGGATGGACCCTTGATTCCTTCTGATGACTAGGAGCCACGTTCCCGTTTTGCCCCCCCCTCGCATGCACCAGGACGTTGCTTCCAACAGTGGGAAATGAGGCCTTCGAAGCTGCGTTAGCCATGAACTTTGGAGTAGGAGGGAAAAGCATAAGATGGCTTGGAAGCTGTGCCAAGGAGTCAGAAGAGACACTGGCTGTAGTCGTACTAGGATCCGAAGGCTGCCTGCCATGCTGGAAGACCCGGGGTCCTGAGGGCAAGCAGGACATTTGGGAGATTATTAAAGGGTCCAAAGCAGTATTTCTCCAGCATGGGAGGATTTTAATGGTCTGATGATCGGTAAGGCTAAACTGGTGTGAGCCATAACTGGGTCTTTGTGGGGAGCACAGAGATGGATGGAATTTTGTCTGCCCTCCCCCTTTGCAATCCTGGGTCTTACCAAACCCAGAGTCTCACCTGTGGTAGGCAACCACATGGTACTAAGCCATACCTGAGTCCCATAGCCCTCCCTTCCAGTTACTTCAGATCTAACCTGACCTTTTCTTTTTCCAGTCCCTTCACTCCTGACTCTGGTTCTAAATATCTTTGTTCCCTGTAGAGGCTGAGAGCTGTCTGCCTCAGCCCACTATGTGAAACTATCCTGAGGAAGGGCATACCAATAGGGTTCCTCCTACAGCGTCTGCCCGGCCGCGGCGCAGTCCTCCCCTCCACAGTCACCCTGAGACTCTCCCGAAGACGGGAAGCTGTGCTGCTTTAGCAGTCCTACCTCTGCTTCCCTCCTAGAGATCTGGAAGGCAAGGTGTCCGAGCGCTGGGGTTGCCTTTCATGGTGTTCGGTAGGACTGACTGTTTGACAGGAAGTGCCGCAGCTGGGCTGTGCTAATAAGTTGTCACTGCTTCTTCTGTACATTGTTAACATGAAAGCACAGCTCCGTCCCTTAGGCGTGGCCTGGGCAAGGACCTCAGAGGCTTCTGGACATCCTTAAGCCTTAGCCATTGGGAGGGAGCCCGGGAGCAGCTGCCACTGCTCTAAGGTCGGCTGGTGGTAGGACTTGGTTAATGAACCTGAGGGAGGCTTACTGTGACCATTGCTACCCGGGGTGTCAGAAGAGCAGTCTTGTTGAGGGAGGGTGCCATGAAGGGGACTTGAACAAAGCCAAGGGACTAGATGTGGAAGATGAACAGAGGAACAAGGAAACTCAGGGACCTAAAAGCAGAAGTCATGAGAAAAAGGCCCTGACTGACAGGTGAAGTTAAGATTCCAGCAGGAGCTGGGCTGGGTGGCGAACGCCTTTAATCCTAGCACTCCCGAGGCAGAGGCTGGTGGATCTATGTGAGTTCAAGGCCAGATGGTCTACAAAGTGAGTTCTGGGATAGCCAGGGCTACACAGAGAAAGCCTGTCTCAAAAACCTAAAACACACCGACACAGAAAAAAAGAAAGAAATCTGGCAAAGCCAGGCAGGGTGGTATATGTCTTTAATCCCTGCACTCAGGAGGACGGCAGGTGTTTCTGCGTTTTGAGGCAGCCAGGGTGACATAGTGGGACCCCGTGAGAGAGATGGTGGCAAGGCTGCATTCCTTACTTTGTAAGTGCCTGGGTTCCCTGCTGCAGCATCCTTCACCGTGCTACCTATAGCCAGAATGAGTCTTTTGTACGTCATAATAAACTCTTGTTAAAAACAAAAACAGTGGGAGTGTCTCTTTACAATTGCTTGTGTTTCTCTGTCCCCGAAAGCTAATTCCTTAGGGCCAGCAAGGCCAGACATGTGTAGGTGTTAGGTTATCAAACCCTCTCTCGTCCCTACTACGGTGCATTTCCCTTGTCACAGCCCTCCTTTCCTCTGGTTGGTGTGGCCGTTTATGTCCCTCAGACAGATAGCTTCCAGTGTTACTCAGCTAGTTGGCAAAGTCAGGACATAAACCTGGACCTGGTCATGCCTGGTGACAGACGCCCATTGTCCCAGCATTTGGGAGGTACAGGCAGGATCAGGAGTTCAAGGCTCAGCCGAGGGTATGTGTTGAGTTCCAGGACAGTCTCAGATGCAGGAGTCCAGGGCTCTAAAATAAACAGGAATCGGGAGTCCCGTGCACCTCCCTTAATCTTGGGAGCCTTGGAAGGCCTGGGGCTCACAGTGACCTTTCTCTCTTTGCCCTCCAGAACTGGAATTAGGGTACAGACCCTCACAGTCAGACTCTTCAGTTGGGCAGGTGGGTGGGGATTTTGTAGACAGGATTTCACTGTGTACTGCAGGCTGACAACAGGGTCATGATCTGCCTGCCTTTGTCACCTGAGTGCTGGGGCGAGACACAGGTGGGACACAGGTGGATCTCATTGGCAAAGTGTGCATCCTTTGGTGTCCATGGAAAAGAACATAAGCAGGATGTTGTTGCAAACACCTGTAATCCTTGGAGAATGAGGCAGGAGGATCCCCACAAGTCTGAGACCAGCCTGGTCTATATATTATCCAGGATTACTTAATGAGACCCTGTTTAAAAGAAAAGAATCACTATCTCCTTTCCCTTTTTATTTGTTGAGACTGTGATATAATTATATCACTCCCCCTTCTCTTTCTTCCCTCTCAACCCTCCCATGTGCCTCTTCCTTGCCCCCTCTCAAATCCAGGACTTCTTTTTCTTCACTAACCTCCCACCTCTTTAATATTCCACCCTTCGTTTTTCTTTTCTTTGTTGTTTTGCTTTGAGACAAAGTCTCACTATGTAGCTCTGGCTGTCCTGGAACTCACAGAGATCCTCCTGCCTCTGCCTCCAGAGTGCTGGGATTAAAGATGTGCAACCACTGCTTCTGGCTTTGTTGGTGGCTTCCTCTTGTTCTTTTTTGTTTGAAGCTAAAGTTTTTAACTTGGGTGCTAGACTCTTCCTTCCGAAGGAGTCTACAGATATCCTTAAGGGAGAATCACATTGCCTTGGGAGTTGCCTTCATCTTCCTCAACTGGTTGTCCCGCTCAAAACTGAAGTTGAAGGCTAGGGCTATTGCTCAGTTGTAGAGCACTTGCCTGGCTTACCCATGGCCTTGAGTTCAATCCCCAACACTATGATAAAACACAATTCTGATGTGATTCTGTGGTGATCTGAGTTCCTGCCTTTGGCCAAATACACCCTTGGCCACAAAATCAGGGAAGAAAGCAATGTATCAGGGAAGTCAAGGAAGGAGGCCTGCCACAAGCAGAAAGCCTGTCTGGGCTGTCTGAGAAGTCAAACGAAAATGTTGCCAGGCTTGGTGGCACACCTATAATCCCAGCACTTGGAAGGCAGAGGCAGGAGGATTGCTCTGAATTTGGCATCACTCTGGTCAATATATCAAGGAGTTCCAGGCCAACCAGGACCCATCAAAAACAAACACCGAAAATTCAGACCAGATGTGACAGTTCACAGCACTGAGGCAGGAACTGCCGTACATTCCAGACAGGCTGTGTTGGACTCTAGCGTCAAACACCGAGAAGGAGTTGCCCTCAGAGACCATCTCACATACTACAGCCGATGCAAAAGCATGAGGATTTTATTAATTCTGTCATGACAGGGGCCCCCAGCATTCGGGAAGCCGAGGGACCTCGAATAGCGGGTACAGTCTACTTTTAAAGGGGCCACAGAAGCAAGGGGGGTTGTTCTTTGACTATTCTGATTGGCTTATTTGAAAGGGCTATTACCAATAATTGACTGGGGAGCTGTTGCCAGATCAGATGAGGTAAGAGGTCATTTTGACCCCGTTTCCCAGGGGACCGAACCAAAGCATACGTATATGGGTAATTGTTCAGGAACTGAGTACGTGTGAGTGTAGCTGTTAGGTCTTTGGTTCCCAAGGCAGGAGGGGAAGCACTATGGCACAGAGGCTGAGAGGATTCAGAATTGTCAAAAATGGCTTCAGGATTGTCTTAAAGTCTTACATTCCTTCCTCTTATTTGGTCAAATATCTCAATCTTGAGATATTAGTAAATTTGGAGGACCAATTGGATCTGTACACAGAGATTAACAAACCAGTGTTATAGACCCATCATAGATCAATAAACTGTCAGATGAGACTATTTTCTCATATTAGGGAGGTCCTGCTGACAAGCATAGCCAACAAGATTGTGTCAAGCTGGGGTCAGTACTATTTAGCAAAGAAAAGGCTCCCACTATCAGATTAAACAGTCACTGGCCTGTATTAGAGCTTGCCAGCAGTGAAGCAGGAGTTGTAGAAGGGTTTTTAGGACTAGGAGTGGAGCCCAGGGCCCTGGAAAGGGGGGCTACCTCGGCAGGGGCTCATTGGCCCTGGTCAGTTAATACTGGGTTGGGCCCTAGTACTATGGTCATTGGAGGTGTTACAACTCACAGGGTGAACAGAATCCCTATGTCTTTTTTTTTCTGGATCATATAACTATAAACCCCAAGTATTGCCTGTCAGATTTTTTTTTCTCAGTAAAAGTGATTGTGATTTCAGACATTTTTTCTGGTGTGGTACGGGTGAAAGAGACTAAGTCCTTTTTGTTAACCCTCAACCAGGAGACATTGACATTGGTTTTACATCCCCAGGCAGCACAATAAACTTTAGCCGCCCCCCCCCAATATTGTTTTTCCCCCGGACAAACATATCATTCAGAATATTTGCATACAGGATAAAAGTTTCCAGGGGTTTGCTCAGTATCCTCCCAAGAGGCGAGAGGATTTTGGGTACGCTGAAACTTTCATTTGGATGGTCCTGGGTCGTCCTGTGGAGGTGTAGGCTTGATGTGAGATGCATGGATCCAGGCTGCAAGATCGTCCACTCTGAGGGCAGTAGGTGTAGGGTCCCTTCCAGCGAGGTTTAAGGTTCTGGGACCGGTGTCTCTGAACATACACAGAATCGCCAACCTGGAGCGGGTGTGAGATTTCCGGGTGCCCGGGCTGGTGTTGGGAGGTGCCAGCAGAGAAGCAGGGAGAGTAGCTTAGTCTGGCTGGCAGCAGCAGGGATAGCTAGGGCCCCTTTAGGGACGGTCTAGTCTGGCCTGCAGCAGCAGGCTCTGGTCAGATAAATACCATTTTATGTCCCAAGTCCTTCCCGACACCCATGGAGACAGTCCCACTTCTCGCCCTTAGGAGACAAGTGGGGGAGATGTCTGAACCCCCGTGTCCAAATATTTCCTCCAGGGGAAAATCTTTTGCCAGCCTCCCGGGGCAGCTGTGGGGGATATGTATCTCAGATATCCCAGGAGGCTAGCCCTGCTACTAGTTGACAGAAATCAGGGGTGAGGGCAGGGGTATCGAAGCAAGGGCTTGAGGAGGCATGGATTGCAGGTATGAGTGGGCAGCTGCCGTTCTGGCTGTGGGGTGCTGCAGCTTTCCTCATGTCCCTCCGGATATACCCCAGGCGTCAATTCTGGAACGAATGCGAGATTTCCAGGTGTCAGGGTGGCCAGGGGTCTCTATGCCTGGGCTCGGCGATCTGGAGAGCCTTCAACCGCGCCTGCAGATGGGGTTTGTGAGCAAATGGGTTATGAGGGGCCTTAGGAAACTAAGAGAGGGGTTCCCCATATTGGATCTTATAGGGGGTTAGTCCAAGCTGAGACGGGGTGTTTTGTACACAGAACGGGGCTAAGGGAAGGAGCTGTACCCAGTCTCTAGTGCCAGATTCCAAAGGCTAATTTGGTAAGGGTCTTTATTTATCCTTTTTACCTGTCCTGAACTCTGGGGTCTGTATGTACAATGTTAATTTTTTTTAGTCTTACCTATGCCCTGACTTTTTTTGAGCAACAAGGCAGTTTTACCATCAACCTCGATTACCTTGAGCAGGCCAAACCTCGAGAAGATTTCTTCTTTGATCTTCTTAGTCCTGGTAAGAAAAAGCTTCTCTGCCATCCAGGTGATGTCCCTTTAAGTAGGCTGCTCAGGTCATTTATCATTGTTGCCCTGCCTCCTTACCAGCATGCGCCATCAAAACCTGCTCTGCTTGGGCATTGCAGTACCCCAAGATTTTCACAGCTGCGGTCTGGGAGCTGGGGGCAGTTGTTTTCTGTGAAACTTGCAAGCAGCTCAGGAAGGCTGTTTGGAATTGGGCTCCAGCATCTCCAGGTCCCCTCCTCGCTTCAGTCAGTTGCTACCTGCGGGGGCAGGTGGCTGTAAGCAGAGTTCCCAGGCTTGGGCTGTGACCAAGGCAGCTGGGAGGATTCAGCCAGCAGTGGCTGCAAAGCCTTCCTCAGCAAGGTAGGCATGGCGAAGGCAGAGAGCAGCCTGCTTTTCTTTACAGTCCTGGAGAACAGTAGGGGAAATCAGTCTCCAACAGGTCTTTTTTTAATAAAAGTGTGGGACACTCAGGAATAATCAGCAGTTCTTGTGTCCATAGTCAAATGCTTTAGACATAGCGAGGGGGAACCCCTCCCCTTTTTTCCGTACACCCCAGAATCGAACACCTGGGTGCACAGCATAAGCAAGGGGGGGGGATTTCAGTACTATCATTGTGGCTGCTGCGTTGGCCTCTCAGGTGGGCAGAGTGCTGCTTCAGTAGCCGGCTGTGCTTGGCACCGTTCTCCGACCTGCTTCTGCTCAGCAGCTGCTTTGGGAAGTGTCTCGAGCCCAAAGTCCTGTAGGGCCACTCCTCACTGAAGTCTGCATTTGGCCACTCAGGGGCTGCTCTGTCTGAGGTGCGCAGTCTCTGCAGCTGTCGTCTTCTGTTGCCTCCCTATCTGTCTAATTTTTTTTTTATTAAGTCCTGAAGGGAGCATCTCTGCCGTCCCTCCATTCTCTGCAACTTGCTGTCTGATGCTGACTGGCCTATAAAAGACATCACTACATTGGCTTGGCGATCTGCTGCCATGGGATTAAAATGAGTTTACATCCTGTACCGCTCTAATAGTCTTTCTAAAAATCCTGTAGGAGTACTATCAGACCTTTGCTCTTACCTTAGCCAAATTAGCAAATTAGTGGGGTGCTTTGCAACCCCCC